GGGGGGGGGGGGGGGGGGGGGGGGGGGATTATAAACATTGTCTCCTATGTTCGTATTTCAGATTCTTTACAATGATTATTCAATTATGTTTTGTAATGTGTTGGGTGGAAATGGCTTATTCCTATTTAGTAACACCATTATACATCAATACTATGCCTGTTATTGCTTGTCACGACCAAATGGATTATACAAATTAAACTTTAAATTACTTTGAGATTTTATAATGAATGACTTGCGTCATTATTATGGCGGCTACCAATGTTTCGTAATTTAAGAATATAATGAGAATGATCCATTGTCAGATACACTTCGTGTACCAAAACATGATGCTAATATTTTATCCTTAATGGATAGAACGAAGTGAAGGATTAGAATCATAAAATTTCTTCGATGAAATTGATACATTATTATATTTAGGGGGTGTTTGATAGATATTTTTATGTAAAAATATATTTTAGAATAATAAATTGATGTGAAATATGCGGTTGAAAAATAAGAAAAAGTTTTTGATTTACGTGTAATATTATTTTAATAAAAAATCGTGTAGTTGAAAAGAAGAGAGAGAAAAATGAATTTTGAAAAAAATGGCTATCAAACGGGCTCTTAATCTATTTATGTGCCAAACAATCCACTTAAATTTTGTCATGTATATGGGAAATGACTAGCGCTTCAAGCATTAATAGATAAATAAATGAGTTTTTTCTATGTTATTTGGTTGAACCCTATTGCTATCCAGATAGCAATTGAATTCATTTTATTACACTGCAGGTGACATCTAAATATTTAACTTAACATTTTCTTTATGGGAACTTTCGTAAATTTATTATATACCATAATGCAAGTTGCTCAGTTTCATACTACAAACAAAAAAGAAAGATTATTGATAATTGTATTTTTTGTGCACTTATTTGGACTTTATTACTAAACTATTTCGACATTTTAGCATTACTTAATTTAGATTAATCTTATCTTGTTTCAATTTTGGACCGTTTCTAAGCAATTGGGAAAAAAAAAAGAAGAAGAAGAAGAAGAAGAAGAAGAAAGGATCTATTGGCCAATGGATGGAAGTTTAGGGACTAATATGCATTTGAATAAAAATTGAAGGACCAAAAATTGAAGTAATTTAATGTGGAGGACCCAAATGGAAGAAATAATAAAGAAAATGGCTAGAAGGAAAATTCTACCAGTTTTGATAACTCGGCAGTCGCCTAGTTAGATACGCCCAACCCTTAACCTCAATTACAAGGGCTACTTAGTATCCCTGAACAGTCAACCCATTTGCTACTAGGCGCCTACCCAAGTCAATACGGTCAGAAAATTATGTTTCCTTCAGAATTCAATTCCAACAGGAAAGCTTCCGTTTGGATGATGCTATGTACAATTTTCATGGACGTTTTGGGACTCTTTAGAGGGAATATAAATATTAACTCCCAAAATATAATTAGAGTGGAGAATTAATTGTAAAAGGATGCAAAGAACACAAGATTTGAAACATTAAGATTGAACTCAAGATTTTTCGGGTGATGAACAGCTTTTATATTTTTTGCTTTCTTCTTCACAACTTGTTAAACTAGATTTCTTTGTAAAAGAAAATGATCAATCTTTTAATGAGTTTTTAATCTTTAGTTTTACGTATTTGACATTAAAAATATGTTTTTAGATATTGAATGATTTATATGATTGTCTTCTCTCTACAATTACTGTGCGCGGTAATTGTATGAATTTGGTGGCTTATTTTATACATTCAAAAGAAAGAAAATAGACTCGACATAATGTTAATCGTCATAGGATGCAACGAGGGATAAAAATATACCGCTATGCCATATGTGAATTTTATAAGTGTTCATAAAATTCATGCACTCTTGTATGTTTGCATTCGTCATAGAATTATAGTCGGGTCAGATAAGAGAGTGGGTTTAAAATTATTCGAGAAAGATTGTTGAATAAAATATGAACATTGATTCTTCAAAATTCAGCCGTGTTATCAAATTGTAGAACTGAAGTTAAAAAGGATTATTATATGGGAATTTGCAATTTTAGAACACATTAACTTACACAATTTGCGTTTAGCTTAATTAATTTACTCATAATTGCATAAGTATATTATTTTAGTAATAATTTTGTTACAAAAAAATACATCACTTTATTGTTGTTTCGATTAAGGTCGCGATAATTAAAATCGAACTAAATCAACCTCCTTGAGATGATACTTGGACTCAAGTCAATCTCCATGCGACGATACTTGAACTCAATTCCACTTTATTACTTATTAACAAATAGTACACTTGCGGTGGTTTTAAATTGAAAGATATTTTCGTGAACAAGTTTTTGACGCAATTGTCAGAGATTGTTACTTTAGTTTGAGTTCAATTTATTTTAATGTGCATGATTTGCCTATTAGATGATTTCTTCCACCAATTATTAATTGACATCAATAAAGGGAATCACAACAACTGGACTTTCAACAAATACCGCAAGAGGGGAAGACTTTCTATGAAGATCTCATTGTTTCTTTGACAAAAGTTTTGGGTATGGACATTGAATTCGAGAGAACTTCAATTAAAGAAGAGGAGAATGAAAAGATCGAAAAATTAATTATAATGGGCTAAAATTGAATTAGTAGCATGCAAAAAAAAGAAGGGAAAATTAGCATGCAATCAACCGACTACATTATTTAATCAAAAATTGAGTTTGTGATTAAACCTTATGAGGAGATTAAAGTGTACATTGTTGAGTTCAAAATGGGTGATGGTGAAAAGTCATACTATTTCAAGAAGGACAAGGTTAACTTTGGAGGGAAGTTGCAATATGGAACAAAGTCAAATTAAGCAAACTAAGTAGGACGTCCATATTCAAGTGCCATGAAACGCTTGTGTAAAAGTTTAGCTCTAGATTTTGAATTAAGCGCTTAATAAGAGGCAACCCGATTTTCTATCTATTTTCAATTATTTTTATTAACTGTTGTATTACACATATTTTTAGGAATTGCATTAGTATTTAAGGGCCATATTTAGGAATTCATACGTTTAAATGGTTTTTAACATAATTTTAGGTATTATTTGTCAAGTTTATGCCCCAAATTAGGGGTTGGGATCTTGTTGATGCGTATTGATTTCTAGAGAATTAAAATGGATCTATGAAAAAGGAAAGAACATCACCTTCTTTAGACCTGAATTTTTTTTTTCCTTTTTACGCATTTTGTAACCTACTTTTCGTCTTTTGCCTAGTTTTATGGTTTGACTCGTATACTATAAATATGTGGCTCCTCTTTCAGTTTAGTTTAAGCTTTTATTGCCGTGTCGTTGTATTCTCTCCACATTGTCAATAATAATACATCTTGCCTCTGCGTTTAACTCTCTTTTCTTCTTTACTTTAAACTTTGATATATATTATTATATTTTGCAATCCATATTAACTTCATATCGAGTCATTAACTTCATTCTTTACAACCCCTCGATCTCAACAAGTGGTATCAGAGCTTGGGTCTTTTGTGGATTAGTTGAAGTTTTTTAGAGATGGTTGTCATGAAGTTTGATATTCCGCTGCTAGATCACAATATAAGGTTTTCATTGTAGCAAGTAAAGATAAGAGCTATTTTGGGCAGTTGGATTTGGATAATGTGTTGCTGGGTTTTGAGAAGATGCCAGCTAATTGGACAATGGAAAATAAATAATGGAAAGATCGGAAGGCTTTATCATTGATTCATCTTCATCTATCAAACAATATTCTGCAGGATGTCTTGAAGGAGAAAACGACTGTTGCTTTGTGATTGAAATTGGAGTAGTTGTACATGACCAAGAGTCTTACTAGCAAACTGGCTCTAAAGCAAAATTTGTATTCCCATCGCATGGCGGAAGGAAGGTCGTTGGAAGACCATATTGTCGTGTTCAAGAAAATTATCGTAGATTTGGAGGCATTGGAGGTTAAATATAATGAAGAGGATCTGGCCTTGATCCTGTTATGTTCGCTATCAAGCTCTTATGCGTCGTTTCGGGACACCATATTGTACAGCCGGGATATGTTGACTATAGACAATGTCTATGATGCATTGCACTCAAAGGAGAAGTTGAAGCATCTAGTTGGAGCTACATTAAGTGATGGGGAAGCTCTTGTATCTCATGGTAGTCAACGGAGGAGTAGATTTAGGGAGAGCAGCAATGTATATTGCTTCTACTGCAAACGGAGAGGACACTTGAAGAAGGATTGTGAGAAGTTGCAGGCTAAAGGTGATTTAGCTGCAAATCACATGAGGCAATCATGGAATTCGGATGAGACTAATGTGACCGAGGATTTTTCGGATGACAAAGATGTGATGTTGACTGTGATTTCTGACGTGGAATCTAAGCTTGACAATGAGTGGATTCTTGATTAGGCATGTTCGCACTATATGTGTTTCGATAGAAATTTATTTCAG